GGCGGGGGCACGATGTGGGGGGGAGGGGAGGTGTCCAATAGGAGGGGTGCATCAGTGGGCATGGGCGTGTCATAATAGAAGTGGGCGGAGCCGAGAGGAGGGGTATCTGAGGCAAATGGGGAGGAGGTGGAGTCATAACGTGTCGGGGAGGGGCATTTGGAGGGAGGCGGAGCCATGCCCAGGAGTGTGGGGGCCATAGGGCAATGTGGGGAGCGGGGGGAGAACCTTAAATTTATCCCCCTCCCCCCCCTCAGGTTTTCTGTCCTCCCTCCTGTGAGCCCATTGGAGAGGACCTAGAACTGCCCCTGCAGATCACGGCCAGCCCCGCCCCAGCCCCCCGCTCCCTGGAGGAGGAACTGCAGGAGGCCATCCAGAAAGCCCAGGTACATGTGTGGGGGGGTGTCCTGGTAAAACCAGCCCCCTTGCGCCCCACCCCAGAAGCAGGCGCATCTCAGCACCAGGCGAGGGGTCCCTATGTGCCCTGCCCCCACACCTCTTCACAGGGGCTGTGTCCCAGCGCTGGGTGAGGGGTCCCATCTCTGCCCTTCACCCCTTTTCTCCCTCCCCCTCTGCAGCTGGTCCCAAGTCAGTCGATCCAGGACATCCTGGAGGAGCCGCTGGTGTGTCCAGGTGAGACTCGGAGACCCTCACTGGGATCCTCCCCCCTTGCTTCTGTCACTGCCCCCAGAGCCCGTAGGGGACATCATGGGGCAAGGGCCCAACAGGGGGCGCTGGACTGCAGTGAGCAGGGTGAGGGTCCTGCTGGGGCTGCAGGGAGTGGGGCCAGGGCCAGCAGGGGGCGCTCAGCTGCAGGGAACAGGGTGAGGGCCCAGCAGGGGGCGCTGGACTGCAGTGAGCAGGGTGGGGGTCCAGCTGGGGCTGCAGGGAGTGGGGCCAGGGCCCAGCAGGGGGCGCTCAGCTGCAGGGAACAGGGTGAGGGTCCAGCAGGGGGCGCTGGGCTACAGGGAGCAGGGTGGGGGCCAAGCAGGAGGAGCTGGGCTGCAGGGATGGGGGGGCAGCAGGGAGCAGGGTGGGGGTCCAGCCGGGGCTGCAGGAAGCGGGGCCAGTTCCTAGCAGGGGGGGCTGGGGTTCTGGGAGAGGGCAGGGGGCCATTCAGCATCTCAGGTCTCTCTAACTCCCCCCACCCTCCCCAGGTGATCTGCTTCCTGTGGACATCTCCTGAACCACACCAGCCCCTCTCCCCCCTTGACCAGCAGGGAGCACCCCACAAAAAGCCCCGTCACAGCAGCCAGGCGGCCCCGCCGGCAGCCGCCATCTTGGATTTCCCCGGTCACTACGACTTCCTCACCCCTCCCTCGTCCTCCTCCTCCTCCCCCTCGGACTCCCTGCGCGGGGTCTTCTCCCCGGAGCCACCGGAGGGGCCCCCCTCGCCCGGCCCCCGGCCTGCCTTCGACCCCGTCGATTGGCTGGGAGGCCCGACGGCCGGGGCCGGCCCCGGGGCTCTTCTCCACTGCCTTCTTTGACTCGCCTGACCTAAGCGTCAACCACATGATTCACCTGATGGTGGAGCAGTGGTAGGGGGTGCGGGCCGCTTTGGCCCCGCCCAGGCATAGCGAGCCCCCCCAGCACCACCCCAGGGATGCCAACCCATCTCGCCAATGCAAGCGCCATCTTGGATGGGTGACGTCAACTCCAGGCGCCATCTGGATTGAACCACTGTTCGGAGTGACTTCCTGCCGGGTGCCCGCTTGGATAGGTGGAACCATTGTTTGGGGCGACCTCAGGTCTGGGCAACATCTTGGATGGGGGACATCAACTGCAGGTGCCCTCTAGGATGGGTAGAACCCGCCATCTTGGATGGGTGGCACCACAGTTTGGAGTGATGCCAACATTGGGCAACATCTTGAACGGGTAGAACCATTGTTCAGGCTGACAATGAACTCCTGGTGCCATCTTGGATGGGTGACATCAACTCCAAGTGCCATCTTGGATGTTTGGAACCATTGCCAAGGGTGATGTCAACTCTGGGCACCATCTTGAATGGGCGAAACCATTTTACTGGCTGATGTCAACTCTGGATTCCATCTTGGACAGGCTAAACCTTTGCTATTTTGGTTGTCAGTCTCAAGGGGCATCGTGGAGGGATCACGCTGTTGATGTTAAGAACGCCACGGTGGGCACCTGCCATCTTCTATGCTACACCGTACGTGTTCAGGCTCCCGTGAACGCCAGCCGTCGTCTTGAATGGGTTAGGCCAGCGGGCGGGGGTGAGGCCAGCTTCTACCACCCTCTCCCATGGGTGGGCGCACTGACATTTGAGTGACGTCACCTCGAGGCGCCATCTTGGGTGGGTCCAGTCATTGGTGCTGGGGGTGACGCCGCGTCTAAAAGCCCTTTTTATGTGGGTCGTACCATTTCATTGGATCTGAGTGGATGGCAAGGCAAGGCAAGGCAACGCCACCTGTTCGATGCCACCTTTGCCTCCAGTGTCTGATTGACCAGAGAGAAGGCCATGGAAGCCATCTGAGTTGGACTGTACCATCTTTGGACCTAGCTGGGTTGGTAGTGGAGAGGCCAACTCTAGCCGCCATCTTGGGCAGCTCGTACCATTTTTGAACAATGTTTAAAATGAACGTTTTACGGGCAGACGGGTGGCGAAAAGGGGCTGCAAATGCCACTTTGGTTGGATTGTACCATCTCTGAGGCTAGTGTTTTATGGGG